CTAGGTAAAAAAGTTCAACAAATAGTAAGAAAAAAAAAACTGCTCCTCAACAGTCGAGACAAAAACCACATTATTATTGATTGTGTATGAAAATTTCCACCTGCTCATTTAATAAAACACTGGTAGCAAAAATAGATCCCCAAGCTCAATTTCCAAGAGGGATACCTTGCTGAACTTCATCACAAATTCTCTCATTTCCTTATTCAAGACATTTACATAAGAACCTTGGGGAATTTTAATGATCTTGGGGTTTTTTTAAGCTGAAATTTTGAGGTTGAAAATAAATATTTTAAAACTTCCCAGCTGTCAGTAATAGCAGCATGCTTCCCAGGGAACTCTGAACAAACAAGGTGGTTTGGCTTTATAATTACTTTAACAAAACATCCTAATTAAAAGGGCAATCCATAAGGAATTGGAGTATTTTTCCAAGTTACTGTTCGTCTTCACATTGTTTAAGCCAATAAGAAAAGACAAGAGAATCTAAAGTCACAGAGGAGAGAGAATGTTGCCTTTAACAATGTGCAAATAGTGATGCTTCTTGTTAACTGACTTGCAGAGTTTAGAGTTACAGAGTAATGAGTAGTTCACTCTTCAGGGTTCACCAAGAAATTGCGAGACAAGGAGCAAATGTTTCCCAACACATATCCAGGGAATACTAATGATGAAGTTCCCTTGCAGCACAAACTTCTCGGCTACAGCAAAGAATACCTCCCATTCCATTTGCCTTGTTTTCAGATTACTAATGGGTGTATCTTTTAATTTTTATTCATTTATATATTTCAAAAGCAGAATGAAAGACACAGAGGCAGACACACAGATACAGAAATCTTGGGTTTGTTCAATCCCCAGCTGCTAGCTACATTTGGCTTTGAGCCAGGCTGAAGCCAGGAATCCTGAATTCAATCCATGTCTTCCTCATGGGTGGCAGAGATCCAGCTACTTGAGCCATCACCTGCCGGGTTCCAGGTGTACATTATTAGGAAGCTGGAAACAGATAGCAGGCCAGGACTCAAGGGCAGGGTGCTCCAATGTAGGGTGTAGGGGTATCAAGCAGCATCTTAACTACCGTGCCAAATGCCCATCCCAATGTGTATATGAATGGAAATAGATGAAAATTTTCTTAGCAATGAACTTCCAGATGAAGAAGTGGAAGAATGAAAAAAGTGGCAATACTTGAGATGTGCTAAGATAATCAAATTTTAACAGAGGAGTATTTGGCTGAGTATACATTTTGATCAAATAGTGGCAGAGATGACTTTGCTTAAATGATTTCTTTTGGGAGAACGTCTCCATGCTGTTTCACACACCCTTTTCTGTCCACCTAATGGTCAGAATCCCTTTTCTCTGAAATTTCTAGCTTAAATACCTTTTGTTTTTGTGAAGTCTTTTCCAATATTGCAGCCCCAATCTGCCTATGCCTCAATGAGCTGTTATCATTTTCATGTTTGTGCTTCCCATGACTCCGTACATTCTAGGTTCTTAATTATATTTCCTAATAACTGCATCGGTACACACAAAAGGAAAAAACAAAGAAGAATGCTGCATGTGGAAGAGTGATATTATTAATCCAAGACCATGGAAAAGTTCAAACAAAGCCAATCAGGCATTTATTAGGACTCTCCTCATGAGCATGCCACAGAGATTCTTGATTTAGAACAGGTTAATATATTAATATATTCAGCACACATGGATATGAAAGGCATGGAATTAAGTGGAAGTTTTGTAGCATCTGAGAAGCTGGATTTTATATTTTGATTTCATTTAGACTGTGACTCATTCAGAGACAGGAGAAAGAGCACATTAGTTAAGCAGAGTCCCATTCATTCTGGATACTTTATGGGAACTTCAGCACCTCTGCTCTGTTTATTTTCACTCCTTCCAGTAAGAGATATAGTCCCCTGGGATTGAGTAAGTGATATGACCTCATTTCTTAGAATCATTTGTCTTGAATCACAATCTTTATTGTTACCAGGCCAGTTCTATGATTCCTGGAGTTCTGCTCTGATCTGCACTGGATGCCACTGACCAAACCGAGTCCTGAATTCCAGCTGCACCGTCACTAACTGACTTCAGCAAGTTACGTTTTCTTAGCTTAAGTTACTCTTCTTAAAGTAAAGTAGGTAACACACGCTCATAATATTAGATGAGAGGATAAAACAAATATCCACGAACACTTAATTCTCAGGTAAAATATGAAAACATCTCTGCATGGCAAATCATAACCATCCTTTTGTATTTATGTAAGGCTAAATTATATCCTCACAGCTGTAGGCTCACCTTGCTGGGCTCCTTTTTCACTTTACCATCAAATGTGTGGTCTCAGGATGTCTGCTCTTAATGTTCATAGTGTTGGTCTGACCTGTTCACAGGGCTGTTCCTCACTTCCTTAAAGTGTGGGCCCTTATTTACCCATTTAAAAAGACCTGTTCAACCTCCTTTATAAAATGGTACTTCCTAAGCCTTGCTATTCCATCTAACATGTTTTATATTTCTTTTGAGCATATATTACTGTTTATCATTGTCTCAATACTCAATATTCCTTGAAGGTAGGTACTTTATCCATCTATTCCTTTACTCCTAGTTTGCACAATAACACCTGGTATACATGGCCAAACTTAGAAGGTTTGTGGAAAATGAATGACAAGTTTATTTGGTCATGAAAAAAACCTGAAATCCATGCATAGTTTTATCATAATTTACATTTTCATTTTTTTTTAAAAAATTCTCCTCATATATACCTTCAGTACTTATTGAAAAAACACATACGAACGAATTGTCACTAATCTATTGGAAAGAGTATGAACTTTGTCAAGTGTAATTTTTTGTAAATTACATAACCTAAAACAAGTTAAAAGTGCACCTGTAAGTCTCAAACTCCTTTTCTGTAAACTCCAGTATTACCTGTAGCATTATTTTACCTGGAATGCCTAAGTCTACCTACTTCTAATACATTTTGCATCCTTCAGCCAGGCAAATCTCTTCAAAATGCAATCCTAATTAAATCATTCTTTTTTAAAAAAGTCCTTTAATAGCTTAGGATAAAGTAAGTAATTGCTTTAATGACCTTACGATAATATTCAAAACGCTTGACTTGTTCATGTCAGATTTCGAACCTATCTCACAAGTCTTACCAAATGCCGTTTTTATTTTCTTTGATGGTCTTTTTTTATTCCTCTAACAGTGCCACTATTTGTCTTGACTTCAAACACACATTTATCTTACTTTCCATTAATATTCCTCAATTTGTAATGTACTCTTTTGCATAATCCTTACTAATTCTTACTCATCCTTTAGGGCTCAATTTAAATGCAAGTTTTCTATATGACTGTTCACCTATTGTGTGGTCTATATCTATCTATGTGGCTGTCTTTCTATCATTTATCTATGTCAGACCACAGGGTTTTGAAAATATCTAGCCAGGTTTGAATTACAACAATGACAATTTCCAATCACTTCATCTAAAATGCCATCTCTCTTTGTTACACTCACAGCTCTCTGAAGAAAAAACTATATATTTCTGATTTATTACTGCATCCCCAAAGTTAAGCATGGTGCCTGGTGCTTAACAAATTTTCTCTAAATATCCTTTGAGTTAATATGCTATCGCAGCTAGTGATTATCAACATTACAGAAATAACATCCTTTGATTATTTTACTGCCACCATAATTATTTTAGTAAAAGTCAAATTTGTGGCTATAGTAAAATCATGAATGACAGATATTTACAAAAATAAAGGAAATATGGAGAATGAAAAGGAGTAATCCAAGCACAAAGAAAGGAAGGAAGGCTTGAGGAAGGAAAATGGAAGAAGCAGCAGATCAAGAATAAAGATGAGAAAGGAAGGGATACAAAATTCCTATCCTTTATTTTAAGTGAATAATTTCAAGTCCACTGGATACAAAACAAAATCAACTTTACTATCAATTATTTAGGCAATGATCTTGCGCCAAATCACATTTTCAATGCATATATGATTTTTGGGTCCCAGTTTTGATCACTTAACTTTAAATATGTTGATCATAACTTACTTTTTTTAAGTGCATTTAATTCTCATTAATTTCTACCTCTTTCACTTGAAACTCCAATTCTATACAGTAAAAAAATTTTTATGTTGCTTCCTTTACTCATTTCTTTTCAACTTTGTTTCATATTTAGCCACATATTTTTATTTTTTTAATATTTGTTTATTTATTTGAAAGGCAGAGATAGAGAGAGGCAGAGGCAGAGTATGAGAGAGGTCTTCATCTGCCTTGGGCCATAGCAGGGAGCTGGATCAGAATTGGAGCAGCTGGGACTCGAACCGGTACCCACACGGGATGCCAGTACTGCAGGCAGCAGCTTTACCTACTATGCCACAGTGCCAGCCCTGTTATTTTTATTTTTAGACCAACTTTTCACCTGCTTATTTTGAAAATTCTGGTCATATTTAAATTGCTGATTAATGCATTTATTATGGATCTTAATATCTCATCCATGAATGTCTCAAGACAGCTACCAGTTAAGTAGATAAAATAAGTTGCCTTTTATATAAAGAAAATGTCAAATCAAATATTAATGATTAAGTCATAAACAAGTCAAAAACTATATATGGATGTCTTGCTGAAGCATCATTAAAAAAAGCTAGCGAAGTTGAAGTTATATAATATAACTCTATTTCATGGTTACCATCAGAAACTGTAGCAATTTTTGTGAAGAAACTGATTAAGATCACTTATTGACAAAACATAAATAGAAAATAATTTAATTTCAGATTACAATGAACAAAAGGAACCTCCTTAAAGAACCATAACTAATGCTGCACTACTCAAAGAGTAGCAACTATTGCAGACAATGTATGCAATTCATCTTTTTTTTTTTAGTTTTATTTTACATCTGAATATATGGAAGCAATACATTGTCCCCAAAGTTGTAGCTTATCAACTTTTTAAAGGAGTGCTTTGAAGCTGAGGTAACAGAGAAGATGGAAACCAGACTGTGACTGACTGGGGAGAGATCTTACCGTCCAGATCATTCTCTGGGGTCTCTGCTGTATACCAGTTGGAGGGGGGTCCAGTGCCGTTGACTGTCATGGCTGACACTTGGAAGCTGTACTGACTGCCCTTCTCCAGTCCTGGGGAGAAAATGTGCATAGGTTAAAAAAAAGTTACTGAATAATAAGTATTTTTAACAATAGTTGACACAATTTGCATTGTTTATGATTCCTGTGGTAATTATTAATATTTTGGCAAAAAGGGCAGGATTATCACAGAGAGAAAAAGGATTATTTTTTCAGATCACCTCATGTATTATTTCTAGTTTATAAAAATGTACCACTGAAAATAGCTTCAGGGCCGATGCAGAAATATAAAATATGAACAGCGAAAAAATAATCAGAAATAGCAAGGATCATTTTTCCACCCCGTTCAGATGAGCCCTGACTATAAATCAGGAATAGTCTAACAGTTTATGCCTCCATCATTCAGTCAAGGTCAGGGATTATAGTTTCTTTAGAATAAGAAAGAAGAATCCAAAGCTGCGGCACTTGTGCAACCAAAACCAAACCAAACCAATCCCCCAGTGTGGGCTTTCATCTCTTAAAGTCATCTTTTTGATTATATTTCGTTTTTTATTTTAGTTTTTTTTTTTTTTTTTTTGACAGGCAGAGTTAGAGAGAGAGAGAGAGAGAGAGAGAAAGGGAGAGAGAGGTCTTCCTTTTTCCGTTGGTTCACCCCTCAATGGCCACTATGGCCAGCACTGCGCCAATCTGAAGCCAGGAGCCAGGTGCTTTCTCCTGGTCTCCCATAGGGGTGCAGGGCCCAAGGACCTGGGCCATCCTCCACTGCCATCTCGGGCCACAGCAGAGAGCTGGAGTGGAAGAGGAAGGAGCAACCGGGACAGAACTTGTGGGGAGCAATTCGGACTATACTGTTACTGGAATTAAGATTTATTCTATGCATCTGCTCTCCCACAATATGGCGCTGGGAGAGAAGTAAACAGCTTCTACCCAGCTGCCTCTCACCAACTTGACAAGCTGCAGGAGCTGCTCCTGATTGGAGGAGAGCGGCGTGCTCGGCGTGTGGGCAGCCGAGTTGGGATTGGTGGAGAGGACTATATAGGAGGAGAGAGACGGCATGGTGGTGTGGGTTGGTTGGAGAGTGCGTTGGAGAGTTCGCGGGGAAGTTCGTTACTTCGTTCTTTCTCATTTCTCTCTACTCATTCTTGCTTTGGGAGTTTGCTGTTTACTTATTCTTACTTTACTATAGAAAGGACTTGTAAAAAAAGGGGAACAACAAGCGCTCGGTCCGGTGCGGCTCCTCCGCGTGCGGAGGAGCAGCAAGTGGTGCCGTGACTCGGATAGGAAACCTAGGAGGGAAAGACCGGGAAGAAGTGGGAAATTACTGGAGAGAGAGACTAGCAAAGAGCCTAGGGGAAGGCCGGACGGAAAGAGTGCCGGTGAAAAGCTAGTCAGAACCTAGGAAAAAAGCCGCGGGGGAAGAAAATTAGAAGCTAGGAAGGAGGTATTAACTGGGAACGTCTGGGAGACTCAGTCTTCCATTACGCCCACTGCTCCAACATGTCACAGACGGTACAGACAATGGAGTTCTTTGGCTACTCTTTGCCCACTGGCTACCTCTTCCTCCTGCTGGGCACCATCCTCTGTTTCTCCCTAAAGATCATCTATGGGCTAAATATGGTTTCTCTCTCTCTCTCTTCCTACTCCCCACCTCCTCGCAGCTTTTCCTCTAAGCAAGGGAAACGAGGGGGGAGGAAAATTCATGCATTCGTAAGAGCAATCGTAGAGACGTCCCCCTGGTTTCCACAGCAGTGGAGGCAGGTGGGACGGAAAATGCGCGAGGCTGGGGAACCGATAGAAGTGCTGAAGCTGTGGCAACTCGTTGATCAGGTGCTTCAGAACCCCACGGAAGGGATCGAGTTGTTGCTTAATGAGAGGAGTGAATTGCAGGAAGAATTATGGCAGGGCAGCCAGGCGAGCAACTATTGTAACGAACAAGTGAGAAGAAAATCAAAGAAGGATTTAGAGAGCCAGGAAGCTTATGGGGGGGAGAAAGAAGCTGAGGAGGGAACCTCGCCCCCGAGAGAGATGCCAAGAATATATGGCTGGCAAATTCAACCACAAAGGATGAATCACCACCCCGGTATCGCCCATTGGTACTACCAAAGTTTCCTCCTGTAAAGAAAAGCCCCTTTTTTCCATATGAGATTGAAGAAGAGTGGGAGGAAGAAGGAGTGATGGAGGGAGTAGGTATGCAGGAGGAGCTAGAAAGGCCAAGAACCGAAAACAAGCAAAGGGGAGCTGTTTATAGAAAACCTGCTTGGGAGCAGTACCAGGAACCAGGCCAGGTGTTTCCTGTAATTCAGGATCCACAGGGAAACAGGGGATGGACGCCTCTTGACCATAAATTACTTAAAGAGTTGCAGCAATCAGTACAATTGTATGGGCCCCATGCAAGTTACACTCAGGCAATCCTTGATAACATTGGGCAGCAAGGCCTAATACCTGAGGATTGGAGAAACTTAGTAAAGGCGGTGTTAGGCGGGGGTGACTTCCTCTTGTGGCTAGCTGCTTATAAAGAATTTGCGCGAGAATATTCAAAGCAGAACTATCAAACAGGGAATCAAGCATGGGATGAGGAAATGTTAAATGGAGAAGGGCGATTTGCCAGTCCCGATGAGCAGGCCCGATTACCAACAGCTGTCCTCTTACAGGTGAGGGAAATAGCAAGAAGAGCCTGGAAGGTGATACCCAGAAAAGGAGAAGTAAGTCACAGCCTAACTAAGATAATACAGGGCCCTACCGAACCTTACGCTGATTTCGTGAACAGATTAATGGAAGCAGCAGGAAACATTTTCGAAACCGTGGAAGAAGCAATGCCCTTAGTCAAAAGATTGGCGTATGAACAGGCCAATAAAACATGTCGGGAAGCTCTTAGACCATGGCAGCATAAGGACATCCCTACCTTTTTGAAAATCTGTAGGGATGTCATGGATGATGTAGTTTCTGGATCACATGCTGCAGTAGCAGTAACCCGACAGTTTAGACAGAACATGAGGGGACGTATATGCTTTAGATGTGGTCGAGAAGGGCATCTAATGAGGGAATGTAGGGCCAGATTTCCAGCCCGAGATCTGCAGGGCATAGAGAACTCGAGAAGACCAGGCCTTTGCCCACGCTGTAGAAGAGGAAATCATTGGGTCAGTGAATGTTACTTTAAAATAAACAGCGCAGGCAATCCCCAGAGGATGCCAAATGAGCCGGGCCCCATAAGAAGATCAGGTGTATATGGTCAACAGCAAAAAAACGGAATGTGGGCCCCTGCACCCCGGGGCCAAAACAATCGGTGGGTGCCACGGTCCCAAAACCAAATATTTACCGCACAGAGTTACGAGCCACCGAATATTCGGTACTAACACCTCAAATGGGGCCACAAGCCATAGAGGTGAGGGCAGAAACAATTTCAGCAGAGCATAACGGACTTGGAATAATCGTAGGAAAAGAAACAAATGCTTTGAGAGGCCTAATGGTCATCACCGGAGTCATTCAGTTACCTTTTGATAAGCTAAAAGTGCTAATACAATCTACAAAGGGTATTATTCAAATCAAACCAGAAGAACCTGTGGCTCAAATACTGATCATGATTGGAGCGCAGGATGTTAATGGACCCCAAGGGGAGAAATTTGCAGCCTTGTCCCTATCTCTAGCAGATCGACCTCTGTGGACCTTAACCATTAGAGGAAAGTCAATTCAGGGCCTGCTAGACACAGGTGCGGATGTAAGTATAATTTCGGAAAATGATTGGCCAAAGTCATGGCCCCTTCAGCCAGGAGATAATACTTTAGTAGGCCTAGGTGCGGCCATGACACCATCAAGGAGTGCTCAGGTGCTTCATTGGCAGGATCAAGAAGGGAACAAGGGAAATGTGCAACCTTATGTTAGTGCACTCCCCATCACATTATGGGGAAGAGACATTTTAGAACAATTGGGACTGACGTTAACAAATGAGGATCAATTGGAGAGTTCTACAGGACGGCGTATTATGTATAAAAAGGGATATCAGGAGAGAGGATTAGGCTCCAGAGAAGGCAGAAGGGACCTAGCCCAGCCAAAAGGCGATTTTAAAAGACAGGACACGGGTTTTTCGTGGGGGCCACTGAGATGCAGCCGCTGCCATTGTCATGGCTGGACAACAAGCCAAAGTGGATACCACAGTGGCCCCTTACCCAGGAAAAGTTGGCTGCGGTAAATGATATAGTATCACAACAATTAGAGGCAGGCCATTTGCAACCATCAACCTCCCCATGGAATACGCCAATATTCGTGATAAAGAAAAAATCAGGGAAATACCGGTTGTTGCATGATTTACGGGCTGTTAATCAGCAGATGCAACCCATGGGGGCATTGCAACCCGGACTCCCGGTTCCTACTATGATTCCAAAGCATTGGCCACTAATAGTACTCGATCTGAAGGACTGCTTTTTTAGCATACCTCTACATGAACAAGACACTCAGAGGTTTGCTTTCACCGTACCTTCCATTAATCATCAAGGTCCCGACAAAAGATATGAATGGAAGGTGCTTCCCCAAGGAATGACTAACAGTCCTGCCATATGCCAGCTATATGTTGACCAGGCAGTAGAGCCGGTTCGACAACAGTGCCCAAAAGTACAAATTTTACACTACATGGATGACTTGTTAATAACGGCTGAAAGTGAAAGTCACCTAATGGAAGCATATAAGCTGCTGCTATTATATTTGGAAAAAGTTGGGTTACAAGTAGCGCCAGAGAAGATACAAAAAGGGGAAGTAGTACAGTACTTAGGACTTAAAGTAACTTCTGAAAAGGTAACCCCATTAGAATTTGAAATTGCAATAGATGGGTTACAGACCCTTAATGACTTCCAAAAATTATGTGGCAATTTAAATTGGTTGAGGCCCTATTGTAAATTAACTACCGAAGATATGATGCCATTATTCAATATTTTAGAAGGAGATGCCCAGCTTGATTCCCCTCGTAGATTGACAATAGAAGCCCGCTTGGCGTTACAGAAAATTGAAAAATTAAAGCAATGCAGATGGAAAGATGTGATCCACAACAAGCCCTAGAAATATTA